TTTAGCATCAGATTTAACAAATAATTTCCATTTTGCACGGAAATAACACTTGAAAAATATATGAAATTATCGTGAATCATTGATGACACTCTTTGAACAAAACAACACTATTGTATGAGCAGTCCTTTAAAATGAAAATTTCACTGAACTACCCAGAAAGATTTTGAAATTCTTATTCTACGCTAGCTACACAAAAAGCGTTGAGCTCACTCCTAAAACTCCGTCTGACCGAGAGAGAAAGTTATGCATAGAAAGGTTTATTGCGAATGTAAAGATGAATGAAAGGATAAAAGTAAAGATAAAATCAAACCAAAGTATGATACGAGAAGTCCCATATTATATGTAAAGCGCCCTAAATGAGGAATTTTGTGACAAAACAGAAAATTAACAAAAATCATTTTTAAAAAATTGTATAAAGCTGAAATAGAAATTTACACGCAGTAAAAAAACTGGATTTTTTTGTGTCTAAGTTAAAATTAAAGTTAATGTTATGGGACGCCCTTTACATTATCTTTATAACATGGTTATAGTAAGATAAAATATAATTTCGAAACAATACCCTTAATAAAGAAAAGCAAGGTCATGTCTAACAAAGAACTCAGGCATTTGCAAATTATACGACATTCAATCCTTACTTAGTACCGGGTCTTATTTATATGTATATACAGTCGTCGTCGTATATATCAATAAATACAGCGTTCAATTTCAATTTTGATTTCTAAAGAAGCTGTAATTACAGCATGGAGACACATACACTAAAAACAGAGGGAAGCTGTCAATTATCAGATTCTCTTTGTTGTAAACTTATTATTTTGGAAAAAAACCTTGTTAGAAATCAAAACTAAAATAGAAAAGTCGTCTTTCTTGTATTGATATAAACGCTGACAATTGTAATAACGCTCTTTGCTCATATATATATATATACAATATGCATGTGTGTTAGCTGTAGCTGGCCAAACGGCAAGCTTTTTAGGAAACCCATGGCAACCCTTGCGCGCGGTGCAGTGAGTGTTGACATGGACTTAAAAATCAAAATCTATTTTTTCAATATTCGAAATACATTCCATCGCTACCTTCCCTAACTATATCTCTTCTTCGCTGTAATGCAACTAGAGATGTAATTAACAGTCATTTCCAGCGGAATAATATGTCACAAATGAATAATAACAAAACCTTTCTTAGAGTAAAATTTTATTCCTTGCCTGCCACCCGCCCCCCTCCTTCTTGTCAGTATCCTATGCAGCAGTAAATGTTGTATAAATGTACAATATGAGTCACTGGTTCGATGGAAAGGTTTGCAGCACCTACACTTAATAGAATATAGAGCAGGGTGTAGGTCTGGGCATCGGTTTGAGCTACGTTTTTAAACATTTAACGTTTTTAGACTACGTTTTTAGACTACGTTTTTAGACTACGTTTTTAAACATTTAACGTTTTTAGACTACGTTTTTAGACTACGTTTTTAAACATTTAACGTTTTTAGACTTCTAAGGTTCTACAAAAATCTTAGATGGAAATTTAATTTTAAAATAGTTTGTATTAAATAATGCATAACTTTTACTGTGGCAAAAGATATTAACCAAAACAATTTTTCAAAACGATTGGTAAAGTCGTCTTTCTATTTCGAAATTTCAAGCTAGACGGGTTTGTTTTTATAGCATTATGAAAATGCTTTACTCTAGCCGAAGATATTAACCACAAACTGTAATTTTTTTTAAATCGCATAATGTAAAAAAAACTTATACAGAAAACAATAACTCAGACATTTAGAGCTCTTTTAACGTCACTAAACCTGAAATATATCAAAACGGTGCTCATCGGTAGATGTAGGTCTGGGCATTGTTAAGTGAGCGAACAATTTTCAATGAACGAACGGGTTCATTTTGTAAACGAACAGAGATTTTTACGAAACAAACTATTTTAGAAAAAAATAGTATTTAATAAATAAAACAACACTTATATCAACTACTGAACAAATAATTGAGACATGAAACAACGAAGAAAATTTTTAATTAGTGCTCAAAGCGAGAAAATATTATTTATAAAAGTCTTAATATGCCCAGGTCTAGTCAGGGGTGTAGGCGTGTGGAGGTGGGTTGTAGGTGGGATAGAGAACTCTATGAGGGTGGGATGTAGGTGGGTCACGAGGGTAGATAGGGCGGGACATAGATAGGGGCAAGGTAAAGGGGTCCCTTAGGGAGGAATGGCGTAAAGGGATTTTGTAGAGAGGATTAAAGGTTTTAGAGGGTAAAGGGAAAATAACCATCACCGAGTGAGCCAAAAAAAGGACCTACGAAAACAAAGTAAAAACTAGAAAAAATGCGTTTAGCGCCTAAAAGCGTTTTTATAAATTTTTTTTATTTTCTTTTTAAGTAGAAAATTTTTTGATAGATTTTTAATGTCGTAGAAGCATATTTGTAGACAATTTTTTTAGGTTTTCTTTGACATAGAATTAACACCTTTTAAAATAAACATCTTCATTCAGATTTTTAGTTGCTTGAATATTGAACGTTATAGACAAATCTTTATTTAGTCTCTAGTCTTTGGTCTTTACTATCTAGTCTTTATAATTCTTATTCCTTAGTCTTTAGTCTTATTTCTTTTTCTTTACTCTTAGTCCCTAGTCTTTAGTCCTACTCCTTAGTGTTTAGCCTTAGTCCTTTGTCTTAAGTCCTTAGTCTTAGTCCCTAGTTTTTAGTCTTTCTTTGAATCATGAAAAATGAAAAAAAAAAAAAAATGTTGAAATTTCAACAAAATCTTATTTTTTTCCCCTAAGAATGGAAACAGGAAGATAAACCAAGATGTTAAAATTGTTACAACATTGTGTTTGAAAAATTGAAAATGATTTTAACCTTCAAAACCTAATAACAATGATGATTGCTCTGCAAATACACAATTTATTTAAGACACTAAACGGTACACCCCCCCCCCTAGGGTGCCCCTGAAAAAAATCCCAGATTTGCGACACCTTTTTTTGGAAGCATTAGGGTAAAACTAGCTCAAATAAGAAATTTTAGCATTTTAAAATAATTTTCCTAAATGGCCCAGCCATTTTACTGTTTTTTCCCACAATTTTTGGCCTTTTAAAACTTTTTTTTACCACTCTCGGCTAAATATAGTTAACTCTATGTCAATTTTCAAGTAATTTTAAATAGTGATACTATTTTGGAAATCCATTAACTAGGTTAAAACGATATTTGACAATTTTTTTCTCTATTTTTTTTGTTTTTTTGATGTTCAAATATTTAGTAAAAAGTGAAAAATCGCGCCTTTTTTACACCTTTTGTCAGCTCAACCTGGGAGGGGTTAAAGTAGTTTTTTTTCCAACTCAACACCATGCTGTTTGAAAATATTTTGACAGTTTAGAAATGGCCTAAAAAATGTTTTATTGGCAAGTTTAGAGGCATATGTGTATGAGACTGGCCAAAAACCATTAAAAAAACGTTTCTGGAGCAATTTTCTCCACAACTTCTCTTGCTTGAACAAATGATGCAACTTATAAAAAAATTGTTTTTCATAAAAAGATGCCTTTTGATGTCTCTATAACAATACAAAAAACAAAACTCCAATAGCTTTAAAGAATGTGGAGTTATTACCCTTTCGGTGAATTATTTAATTCTTCAATGGGCCTAACAGCAATGTCACTCAAAAACCGTTAACTAAAATGTCTAAAGCTCAGCCGTCTTAAAAGATATCCAACATTTGTTTTTTCCTGTGCAAACTTAACATCAAAGGGATTCTTTTTATGAAAAACAATTTTTTAAAGATTGCATCATTTGGCGAAGCAAGAGGAGTTAAGATGAAAATTGCACCAGAAACGGGGTTTTTAATGGATTTTTGGTAAACAAGAAAATTGGTGTGTTTCATGTTCATTGACCTTTTTTAAGACTTACAGTCGTCTTCCTATTCCACAGGTTCATGGTTCCCACATCACTGCATATTTTTTCATATTTTATAACTACAAATTTTTTAATTAATTGTGAAGGTGTTTTGGTTTATTAGCTAAAATATTGACTTTTATAAGTTTGCTATTTTGTAAGAACTGGTCAAGGTACAGTAAATAGTCCCCTGAAATCAGAGAAGGATTGCAATAACTCTATTTGCACCCTCCCACAGACACTGTTGTTGCAACCTCCCACACGAAATGTTGCAACTAAAAGACATGATTTGATTAAATAAATATACCAAACCTTATATAGCCTGATATAGCCAAACAATTACCAAGATAAGAGTTGCATTCAATAAACTGTAAACTAAAGTTACCTAATATTAACCCTAAAAGTTTCTGTTCTATTCTATTTTATTCTATTCTATTCTTTTCTATTCTTTTCTATTCTATTCTATTCTATTCTATTCTATTCTATTCTATTCTATTCTATTCTATTCTATTTCTATTTTATTCTATTCTATTCTATTCTATTCTATTCTAACCTATTCTATTTTATTCTATTCTATTCTATTCTATTCTATTCTATCCTGTTCTATTCTATTCTATTCTATTCTATTCTATTCTAACCTATTCTATTTTATTCTATTCTATTCTTTTCTATTCTATCCTGTTCTATTCTATTCTATTCTATTCTATTCTAATATTTTAACAATAGTATATTAAATTTTCCCTGTTTTACCCTGGAGCTTCCATATGTATATATTTACCTTGTATAAACCTATATTCAACCATCAACATGTTGTGGCGTTAAAATCACTGTAATTGAGCATATTAACAGAGTGTAAAAGAAACCGCCGAAGAAAGGGTAAAAAGGGGCAAAGAAATATATTTTATTAACATTATTATAATCATAATTCCACCTTACACAGTATTAGTTTTGATGTTCATGATGATAATAATGATACATAATTGTATAATAGTAATAATAATAATAATAATAATAATAATAATAATAATAATAATAATAATAATAATAATACTAATAATAATAATAATAATAATAATAATAATAATAATAATAATAATAATAATAATAATAATACTATTCTAGGATTATGGAGTGTATGGTGAGAATAGGAGTCCTATTGACCCTACTAGGGTTGTCTACAGCTCAACGTAAAAACGAAGTTTTCTTTGTAAATGTGGAGGAGGGATTCTTTGGCTGCCAAGTCAATGCTTCCTCCGAATTCCTCCAAATTTTCACAATCTCCAAACTCTGTGATGGAGTATCCGACTGTTATAAAGGATCTGACGAGGATCAAAAAGAATTAAAATGCTCAAGTGAGTTTTTGACAATTTTTCTTACGAAATCTAATTTCAACAAAAAAGTGCAATATCAAAAGACCCTCGGGCCTCGATGCAAAGATGGCAATGCCCGATTTACAACGGAACACTTATTTCCTTAATCTCATGAAAAATGTGGAAGATTTTTTTTCTGATTCAAAAAGTGATTAGTTCTTATAATTTTTCCAGTCTTTCTCATTAGACAGAAATACACAAGAGAAACCACAAATGAAATTAAACAGTTTTCATAAACAAAAACATTGATATTCAATTCATACTTGATCAGACAAAGCTTTGTAGGGTTCCGTAGTAAATCGGACATTGCCATCTTTACATGGAGGGTCCCTTGAAATAAGGCTTACAGTCTTTAACGTAATTTGTTTATAAAAGGGCAAAAACTTAAAGGGCAATCTTCTGGAAAGTTAATATAACTCTTAATTTTTTAATAAAGGAATTGAGTCTTTGCTACAAACTCTGATTTTATAATCCTTATATCTTTAGAATCCAATGTCGTAAATCTTTGATATTTCAAACTTATATTATTTGATCTAACAAAATTCATAGTTTGAAATATCTAAGGTCTACGACATTGGAATACAAAGATATAGGATTTAGAAAAGCAGAGTTTGTGGCAAAGACTCGTTCCTTTCCTCTAACCGTCTCTGCCAGGACAAAACGACATTTTAAATATTACAGAAATATTTAAGTTTGACAGTTTAAATGAATCGGCTGCACAGTGCACAGTGCGCACGCAACAAAAAATTACACAAAATTAATATCAATTTTTAAAATTAATTTACAAAAAATTTAAAATAATTTTCTTTTACTTAAAACATTTATTCAAGTTATCAGCTAAAGGGGGAAGAAACCTCCCCCCTTAGATAGCCCCCCCCTCTCAGTTGTAATCTATATATCCTTTAAATCTGATAAATGATCAATCTAACTGCAAGATTAACCATGCGTACATTCCAACTTCAAGTTCAATTTTAAAATTCCATGAATTAAAAATTTTAAAATTTTAATGTGCTTTTTTAATTGTCTTCTAATATGAAAATAGGTTCAAATATGGCAAATTTATTTAAAGGAATTTATTTTCTTGGTTGATTTCCTTGTACGCATAACATCCACCCGAGCGTATAAATATTTACGCAAATATGCGTATCTTTGGTATATTTAATATTGAACGCAGGGGTTAAGTGTTTTTAGGAGATCAATTAGTTCATAATTTTGTTAAAAACACTTCCTTTTATCTTACGCTAACACTCTTACTCTCTTGATCGCTTTATTACACATTCACTAATTCACTCATTCACACATTCACTCACTCACTGACACACTCATTCATTCACACCCTCACTCACACCCTGACTAACTCACTCACTCACTCACTCACTCACTCACTCACTCACTCACTCACTCACTCACTCACTCACTCACTCAATTACTTACTCACTCACTCACCCCCCCCCTACCCCAAATCAAATGAAATACACCTAAAAATGGAAGTATAGTTATTATATTGTCGATCAAAAAGTTGGATTGATATGATATGATTGCCTGGTTCCAGGCAAGGACAAGGTGGATGGTGTGGATTTTTCTAATTCTCAATGTTTCCCTCATGAGAAATTGGAATAAAATTGAACCGAAAAATACAAGAGCGTTCGTAAACGAAAATCTTATTCTTCTTAACAAAATACAATTAAAATTTAAAAAAAAATTTAAGTTTGCATAACTATCATGAATATATTTAAAAGTGATGAAAGAATTTAACAAAAAAAATATCGATTTATAATTGAACATGGAAAAAGTATATGACTAATAAAACTTTAACTGCAAGAAAATTTGATTATTTTATTTTTTTTTTAATATTAATTTTTAGATAACTGCCTATACACAACTGGGCGACGATGTATGAATGGAGCCTGCCTGGATTCTCAATGCTATTGTAACGATGGCTGGGGAGGTAAAGGATGTTCAATGCCGGATGAAAATGAATGTAAATACAGGTAAAATCATTTAATGAGATATTCTTATTTTTTTTATCGGAAAATTTTTAATTTGTGGATTGGATTTGTATTAATTTTTGTATCTTATACAGCGCGTTTCAATAATAATACAAATACAATATCATCCTAAAGAGTTAGTTTATAAGACAATATGTTTAAAAGAATTGATTTGTTAGAATGAATATCATGTAATCTATTTATTTAGGCCATGTGATGTATTTGCTCACTGTACCAATACTATTGGATCCTATTCCTGTTCCTGCTTCCCAGGATACACAGGGGATGGAAGATCTTGTAAAGGTAGGAGTTTTTTCTCTTTCAAAACAATCTCCTGTTTCCCAACATCTTCTGTTTCCCATCATCTCCTGTTTCCCATCTATTTTCCGTTTTCCAACTATCTCCTGTTTCCCAATTTCCTGACTTTCTCCCGTTTCTCGACTATCTCCTATTTCCCAACATGTTTTCCATTTATCTACTGTTTTTCAACTATATCATATTTTCCAACCTGTTTCCCAACTGTTTCCTGTTTCTCAACTATTTCCCGTTTCCCAACTATTTTCTGTTTTCCGACTATTTCCTATTTCCCAACTATATTATACCTTGCAACTATTTCCCGTTTCAATACTAGCGCCTATTTTCCAACTATCTCATATTTCTTGACTATCTCCGTTTCCCAACTATCTCCTGTTTCCCAACTATCTCCTGTTTTCCAACTGTCTCCTGTTTCCCAACTATCTCTTGTTTCCTAACTATCTCCTGTTTCCCAAGTATCTCCTGTTTCCCAACTATCTTCTGTTTCCCAACTATATGTTGTTTCCTAACTATATCTTGTTCGTAAGATGCAAATTTCTAAGTTAAGGCTATACATTTTTTCCGGTAATAACTGGAAGATTATTTAAACACTCCATACTGAATATACTACCTCTTCAAATTGTTTTAATACTTCTCTACAAACCCTTTTTCTAAAAAAGGTTAAAAGTGACTTTCTATTTCG